CTATCATTCTAACGGTCATTACTCACCTGCATCGTGTTGAATTCATCTGCCTTCAGTGAACTTAACATTGGTTGTTCCTAATTCTGTGTATCGTGACAGAGGGACTGAAAAAAAGTCATAGTTTTAGTTATAGTAAAAGCTTCAAAACAAAATGGATGGTTGGGCAATTCCCAATATTTAAGAAATGTGAGAAACAAATAGACAAAGAACGAGAACAGTGTTTTAAAGAAACATTCAGCACTTAATCTCCATTCTGGCAGGAATATGCTTGGAAGACGAATATGAGAATGACACCAGAAATCATACAAGTATACAAAGTTACTCCACAGTGTTCGGACAGAGTGTGTTAAGACAAAGGGCTGCCAATCACACACATATATATATATATCTTAATTCATGTACTGTAAACTGTTACAAACATTTTAGATTGGAGCTACACAAATAGAGCAAATCATTTATTATAATATAAGAAATTTGTTTGGTATATGTCATGTAAATTTAAAACAGGGATGAACTGACAATCAGAGCATTTTAATCAACATCAAGACACTGCAGGAAACAGGAAGTATATTAATATCATATATTAACAATATGAAAAAACTAAGTAAAAATTAAATATTGAATAATTAAATATATATTTTAAAATAATTAAAGGAAATTACAACAAAAAAATGGGTAATAAAGGAAACATATTGCAATAAAAATGGAAAATTAGAAATTGTTTCAATCTATTAACAGAGCTCAAAATGAAATTAGTCAAAAAATTCCTTACTCTCTGAGTCAAACACAAAATGCAATTATGAATGCCAGCACCAAGAACAATATATGTATACATAACACTACAGCAATACAAATAAAAAAGCAATACAAATAAATAAGTAAAAAAAAAAAAAAAAAAAAAAAAAAAAAAAAAAAAAAAATATATATATATATAGCAGTTAACATTTGAAGTGGATCAAAAGAGTTAATCAAAGTTGTCCTAAAACAAGAATGCATTTTGGTTTTAGGACAACTTTGATGAAAGGATTTGATCCACTTCAAATGTTGACTACATATAACCTAGCTTCGCGGTCTCTCTCTCTCTCTCTCTCTCTCTCTCATTTGGATGCACGTCTTGCCACATTACTTCTCACTAATAACCTAACTGAAGCAGCACATGCCCTTGATACGAATCCTAAAATGTCGTATGTTTAACTGTCAACTTGAGCTTTGAATCCGTGGTGAAAGGAAGTAGTTCCGCACAAAAGAGGGTTTTATTAGGCACTCTGTTGTTTCTTGTTTAATTACACACATGTTCCGTCAAACTGTTGTATAAACGCAATATCACTCGAGTACGAGAGCGATACCGGCTCTATATATCAGCAGCTGTGATTGCCTCCGGCACTCAGCCTACGGCTTGGTGCCTCTGGCCTAATCACAGCCATGCTGCTATAGAGCCGGTATCGCTCTCGTAATTGAGTGATATTGCTCATATATATATATATAATTCATTACATTTTATATAGCGCTTTTCTGGGCACTCAAAGCGCTTTACATTGTCAGGGGGTATCTCCTCATCCACCACCAGTGTGCAGCATCCACCTGTATGATGCAATGGCAGCCATATTGCGCCAGAACGCCCACCACAGACCAGCTTATTGGTGGAGAGGAGACAGAGTGATGAAGCCATGGTTAGGGGATGGTTAGGAGGCCATGATGGTCAGAGGCCAATGGGCGAGTTTGGCCAGGGTGCCGAGGTCACACCTCTACTCTTTTCGAAAGACATCCTGGGATTTTTAATGACCACAGAGAGTCAGGACCTCGTATATGTGTGTATATATATATATACAGTATATATATATATGTATATATGTGTATATATACTGTATGTGTGTGTGTGTATTTTGTTTTTTTTCTCTTTCTGTGCTCTCCATTTATTAGTAAATGAGGGGCAAGGGAAATAAACTGTAAAGGCCAGGCATAGAGAAAGGGTTTTTCTTATTTTTCTTATTTTTTAAAAATGTGTCATGAAGGGTTTCCATGTAGTGTGAAATTTTCCTGTATTACCAAGTACTTTAAATCTGATTCACTGTGCAGTTTTTGATATGAAAAGATTCTCTGTGCTCTGGGTAGTCATGCTAATCTCATGTAAACACTGATTATTTGTCCTCAGACTGATAACAAATCTATGAAACGTCAGAGGGTTAACTAGACATTTCATTCATTTGCCCACTGCCATATTTGTTATCCAGTCCTCCCATTACAGGCGGACGTTCGACAGCCCCCTCTTCCCCAAAACTCACCAGGAGTCTGTGTGTGGCTGACTCCAGATGTCCCAGCCTCTTTTGTTACTGTGGAGATTCAGCTGGCCACTGCCCTCTCATTAGTGTCTGCTGATCCATTACATTGTCAGGGGGTATCTCCTCATCCACCACCAGTGTGCAGCATCCACCTGTATGATGCAATGGCAGCCATATTGCGCCAGAACGCCCACCACAGACCAGCTTATTGGTGGAGAGGAGACAGAGTGATGAAGCCATGGTTAGGGGATGGTTAGGAGGCCATGATGGTCAGAGGCCAATGGGCGAGTTTGGCCAGGGTGCCGAGGTCACACCTCTACTCTTTTCGAAAGACATCCTGGGATTTTTAATGACCACAGAGAGTCAGGACCTCGTATATGTGTGTATATATATATATACAGTATATATATATATGTATATATGTGTATATATACTGTATGTGTGTGTGTGTATTTTGTTTTTTTTCTCTTTCTGTGCTCTCCATTTATTAGTAAATGAGGGGCAAGGGAAATAAACTGTAAAGGCCAGGCATAGAGAAAGGGTTTTTCTTATTTTTCTTATTTTTTAAAAATGTGTCATGAAGGGTTTCCATGTAGTGTGAAATTTTCCTGTATTACCAAGTACTTTAAATCTGATTCACTGTGCAGTTTTTGATATGAAAAGATTCTCTGTGCTCTGGGTAGTCATGCTAATCTCATGTAAACACTGATTATTTGTCCTCAGACTGATAACAAATCTATGAAACGTCAGAGGGTTAACTAGACATTTCATTCATTTGCCCACTGCCATATTTGTTATCCAGTCCTCCCATTACAGGCGGACGTTCGACAGCCCCCTCTTCCCCAAAACTCACCAGGAGTCTGTGTGTGGCTGACTCCAGATGTCCCAGCCTCTTTTGTTACTGTGGAGATTCAGCTGGCCACTGCCCTCTCATTAGTGTCTGCTGATCCATATGTCATGTTAAAGACGGCCTTTGATCAACAGTGAGCAGGGAAACATTTCAGCCACCTATTTTCACAGCAGACAAAGATTAGAGGCAATCAAACGACAAATACAATAATTTGGAATTTGACTAAGCTTGTTTACAGAGTTGAATGGCTGATTCAAGACCACCTCTGTCTGGCCTAGTTCTGTTTTTTTTTAAGTTAAAATACTATTTAAATAATATAAAATATGTAAATTTACTTTTGCTTAATGCATAATCCTTGAACATTTGCTATCAAACTGACTTTGACTTGAACCAAGATCTTATCCCAAAGGTACCTTAAATCAACTACTTCATACAAACTTCCTTATCAACAACTCAATTTCCTTATCCATACTGAAAGATAAAACATCTATTGTCTAATGTCTACATATCTTGGCATATGCACCATGCTCTTAATATTGACTGTGGCGAAATATCTTGCATTTTTGAGTTTCTTATATCCTTGTTCCAATTCCCAAACAGCTCAAGAAAAAGTAGAATCACTTTTTTGGTAAACCTTACTGAATGGGTTACCTGAACTATTATAAACTCCAAAAAGAAACAAACAGTTTAAAACAAGCATGTGAACCGAAAGTTTTGTAATCAAGTTCACAATAAGAACCACGTAGAAGTGTGAGAAAAGTGACAAAGTTCCAACAAGGCGGAGAGATCATAAGAACAACACCCCTTCCAAACGGAGTTCCCATGGAGACAAGTGGGCTGGCATACAATAGAAAAGAAAAAGAAGGAGTGCGAAAGAGAAAGGAAAAATAGAGAGAAGGGCCGAGGGGCACAGGGGAAAGGAACGTAGGATGGGGGGTATAATGAGCTGTTCAGCAGAAATTTGGCATGAAAAAAGCGGACAGAAGAAGAAGAGCGACGCGAGAAAAAATTTCAGTATGAACTCTCATTTTCCTTAACCTGTTTTTTCTGAATGTCAAGACAGACCATTTTAAAGAGTTCTCCATACACAATGCCGTTTTAAAACAGGTGGTTCCTGAACTTTTCAGTAGCTATAGATTGAGAGTAAGTAGGATCAATCGATCCGGCAAATGCCAGACGGAGTGATTCGGCAAACGAAAGCAGGACAAAAAGTACGAAGAGGTGCTATTTCTCTGCTCTGCGTAATGGCGAGAAGGCCAAATCTGTCATAGAAGGCCGTCTCGGACAAAAACTTCAATGTTTACTCCTCTATTCCACCACTTCTTGCCATAAACGTCCTCCTCTTTAGTCAGGGAAGTGGAGAGAGGAGAAAATGGAAACCAAAGTGCATGTCCATGCCCTTCTCTTTGATCTCTCTTTTGGCTACCTCACTTATTTAAAGAGTTTTACCCAAGTATTGTTTGGCGTCTCTCTCTTTCTCCCCGCTCCTACTCTTTATCTCTTTCCCTTCGTGTCTCTATGGCCAAGCTTTTTTTCTGTTGGCATGGCTCCTGTTTGTTTTCAGCCATTTTGGGGACTGGCAGTGCTCGTAACAAACTGCTTAAATGGCGTCCTCTCACTCGCTCCGGCTCTCCCTCCCTTCCTTGCTATCATCAGGCTTGGTGTATGTAGAGTAGAGAGTGTACATGCTGAAAGTGTGTGTCTAATGAACAACAAAATTTGGAATAAAAAGAGAATTGGAATTAAAATGAGGCTGGGGGGTGGGTGCGGGTGAGTAAGGGGTACGAGGCTGGGGGGGGGGGTAAAAAATGCAAAAACAGCCCAGAATCATGTGTCAGTGGTAAACTGAAGTGTGAGAGAGCGGGCGAGGGAAAGAGAGACAGAGCGGCAGAAGGAGGGGGAGAGTCAGAGTGCGAGAGAGTCGTTTCTGCCCTCTACATAGCGCTGCCTGTGTGCACGCGCTCGTCTTTCCCTGTGCTCTCTCTCTCGCTCTCTCACTCATACACGCACACGGGAACACGCAGACCAGGACACACAGACCAAGGGAGGGAGAGTGAGAGAGAGAGAGAGAACACATCGCAGCCGAGATGCAGCAGAAGGTTTTTCGAGGTACGTTGGTCTTGTTGTGTGCTTGCCTAGCGGAGAATGGGAGTGAGAAGGAGAGACTTTTTCCTCTGATCTATCTCTGTCTTCACCTCTTCCTGCTTCTTGCGTTTCTATGCCACTCTCATATCATATCGATGTTGTTTTGGTTCTGTGTAGACACCAGAAATGAGTGTGCGTGTGGGTTTGTGTGTGCGCTAATCAAGGCCTGTCTCCCTTATCCTTGGCTGTTGTGGCTGAACCACGCAGTTCTTTTTCAGGGCTGGTTTCAGAGTCGCTCCACGATTAAAGTATAATCAGAATAAAGCTTCAGACTTTTTTGCGTTCTCTTATCATAATTTCTGATCTGCTGGATTTGGATACTTTATGTTGTGGCAAGTTCACATCTGATGAAATCATCTCGATAGCGAAGGACATGTTTTTAGAATTAACGATCAAGCGGCATCTTGGAATACAGAGCCAGTCGTTTTCCTAAAAACGGCATCTACCCGTTTTTACGTAAGGTGGATGTTATTAGATGTTATAAAATGCACTTGCACTTAAAAAAAAAAGCATAGCATAGTACGCTATCAACATCCCTTACAAGGCCATAGGGTCAGAGGTCGTTAGAAGCCAAGCAGCCAAGTTGTATGGTCTTGTAGAAGTGAGTTGCATATACGCCAGGATCAAATTGAATTTCCTGTCGCTGCTTAAGGGTTCAAGTCAGCTAGCATGGGATATTTGCTATTCAAACTCTGGCACATGTCAGCATAAAGTTTCTGGCATACTGTAGCGACAGAGGCATCAATTTAGAATGCAAACATGACAGTGCTGCTGGCCTTCCTAACCAAACTGAAGCATTGTAGAAGCAGGTTCAGGCACGATCTAAAGGAAGTAGCTTTAGCCAGGTCACTAGCGGAGTATCTCGCTCTGTCTGTGATGGCAATTTTCTTCCAGTTTTACTCTACTTAGAATATTGTCCTTGATCATATAGACCAATTTGGAGTAGACGTCACAGTTACGTCACTTGCAGCTGCGTGCGCATTGTGGTGGCAGAAAAACACTGGAAACAAGTGGAGGGAAACAGGTAAAATCGATGGAATAAGAGAAAAAATGTTTTGTTGTGCCTTTGAATGTCAGAATCTGAATGCAAATAATTTTTATATAATACTGTCATCAAAGATGCCATTTGAAGCTAAACGCAGATGTTTAAATGGACGAACAATGGATGAAACCAGCTATGATTACCCTACTTTTAAAGCATACATTTGATTTAAACAATAGGTCTACATAATATTCACATAGGGGACATATAGTATTAGCCCTACAGTTAAAGCATGAAATACTATTTAAACCTATAACATTTTACATAACATTTACCTATTTTATCTCACAATTCTGACTTTTTTTTTCTTGCAAATGCAAGTTTATATCTCCTACTTCGGACTTTATAACAACTCAACAATTGCGAGTTTGTCCATTCTGAGGAAAAAAGCCAGAAGTGTGGTATATAAACTCATGACTCTGAGCCGAGGGGAAAAGAGAGAATGACGAGTTGATTTTTCTTACCAGAATTGTGAGATATAATCTCGGAATTGCAAGAAAAAAGTCAGAATTTTGACAAAAACTCAAAATTACCTTTTTTATTCTTTTATTCCATGGCTTCCGTAGACTGCTACGTTAAAACTAGCATTTTCTGCCACCAAATAGGCACCGCCCACAAAAAAACGTCATCACTGTTTGCAAACACTGAAACTGGTCTATTACAGCAACAGATTTATGGGAATCACTTGTCGAGTTTAAACTCAGCGGACCATGTCGAACACAGCGTGTAACACGGTCAGACTCACTAGAGCATGGCCCGTCATGCCAAATCACCAAGATACCATAAATTGCTCAGAGGGCAAAGCAAGGAGCGAGGAAATCTTACCATGAACCCAACCTCGGACCATCCAGCTCCATCTCCCAACTGCTTCCAAAACAGCCCACTCCTCCTTTTCGCTCATTTCCCTACCCCTCATCTCTCCTCTGGCTGGCTCCACCATGCTTTTGGCAGGGGGTTGTGCAGAGTTCAGTATCTAGTGACAGCCCCCTTTTCACAGTCCGCCTCACCCTGGTGGGCCCCGTCACGGCCACACGGAAACAGGCGGCCTTCACTCATTACCCTTTTCCACTGCCATTCAGTGCATGGTCTTTTTCAGTGACACAGTTAAACGCAAGACCTTTAGCCCATTACCCAGCTTCTTCCGAGACTCTTCTCGGTTCCTAATCTGCCGGTGACCGTATTATAAAACAAGTTTTCTCATGTGCTTAAATTGAAAATCTTCATCTGCATGACTAGCATGTATTTCATGTTCCGGCTGATGACGTGGTTCTGACGCTCGTTTTCAATTTCCTACATTTAGGATAAAGTCGATTTGTTAAACTTTATTTAAATAGACTTTACACACATAATGTTTTATTGTGCAAGATGCAACACCTTAATACTTCAGCTCTAACTCTTTCAGTCGATCGCATGTTTAAGTAGAGGGGCAGTCAGAGGGGGAGGCAAAGGCCCTGTCACGCTTGGCCAGCCTCTTGCGCCAGGGACTGTTTGTTGAGAGGCAGTGTGTGCGTCATATGCGAAGAGAAAAGGAGGGTGAGAGGGAGAGATAAATAGGGACAGACGTACAGAGAAAATGAGAGGGTGACAGATGTGTTTGTCCATTACTATGCGAACGCCATGTAAAACTGTCATTCTTAGGCCTTGTTTCATGCCTTAGCAGACACAGCTGCAACAAGTGCTGGACAGGTTTAAATAATATTCAACTCTTCCTGTCTAAATATACTCTTACGTAACATCTATTATTATACAGGTCTTCTGGTATACATCCTTTGCAGACTCTCAGCAGCTGCATTTGTGGTATGCTGGGTAACGCTAGCTGTCAAGTTACTTGTTTACAGACAGACCAGTTCATATGTGCCTGCATGCCTGCAAATGTGTTTGCGTGTTGAGAGTGTGTGTGCGTGTGCATGCAGCTTGTTAACTGCCTGTGTGTGTGTGTGAGTGTCAGTGTGTGTGTGTGTGTGTTTCTGTGCATGTGTAGGTGTGTGCTTGTGGCTGTTCCTGTCTCCAGGCCTGAATCTTGCTTTCTTCCCCACCTCTCTCTGTCTCTCTCTCTCTCTCTCTCCATTGCTCTCCCTCCTCCTCTCTTTCTCTCTCTGCAATAACAGTGCTGACCTAGTTTCAGTGCATTCAGGGCTGCTTGTGGAATTTTACAGAGGCCTGCCTGCCTGGCTAAAGCGCAGGCAGAAAACCATGACTGGGGATTTTCTCTGGTGTCGTATCATTAGCGATAACTAAGAATGCTCACCAAAATCTATGGTAGATTTTGGTAAAATAGGTTAAGCAAACAAGATGATCATTAAATAAGCAACTAAAGAGGGTTTATGAAAACAGCAAGACTAGACTATTCATTCTCAGACTGCTAAAGAAAACTCCATGACAGTACTCGTCACATGGTCTTTTGCTTTAAATTATATAAAGTATAGTAAAAATAAATATTTATACATATATAAAAAAATCTGCATCAGGAATACATGATGCTTCGGTTCAAAAGGCCATCTATATTTTGGTACCTTTTTAGTCTAGGCATATTTGGAGCACTTTGACTATAAATAAAACTCTGTTGGGGAAATCTTAATTAAATTTTAGCAGTGTTCAATTAGGTGAAGGGATGCTGTGACTCGGTGGGGTTCATTGCTGAGATTCTTTCCACATTTTCAGATTTTGTCATGCCAAATTCAGAAACTAAGATGACTGCAACCAACCTTGTCTGACTAAGTTGCCTGTGTATAATAACCATAATGCATTGCTTATTTTGTGCAAGCTTGTATTTTATAGGTAGTCTAGTATGCTGATTTGCCACCACACAATGCACACTTTTTGTCATGTGCCTTTCTTGTCAGTATAATACTAATACATTCTCTCGTTTGTGGTTGTCTAAAATCTACAATGTTTCTTGTGATTCAAACAGAATAATTGAACTATCTTTTTTTTTTTTTTTTTTGCAGGATTAAGAGCGGGGTCATGGTGTTGGGAGAGGATATCTGGGACCCTCTCCACACCTGCACTGCATTCTTGGAGCTGAATGTGCAATGCATGGCAATCCTCATCTTGTTTCATACGAAGATAATCAAAGATGCACAATGTTACCTACATCTAGGAGTTGTTGTCTCTGGGCTTGACCTCCAGGGACTGCCGTCTTCTTGATTTGACACTTCTGTTTTCTACCATCCTTCAACTGTCAACTTTTGCACTGAAGATATAGCTAGAACAGACACTCTGTAAAGCATTTTCCTGGACCTTGTTGAACTACAGACACATCCTTTGACTGTCTAGTGTTCTCTATTTTAGGCCAACTATAGCCTTGGAGAGCATCTCAGAGGACTTCTACAAGGATCCAATGAAACACCGAAATAAACACATGAGAGGAGACAGGATGGGAGAGGGCACGGGGGAGGCAGATGGTGCCAAAACTACGAGGATATCTCTCAGTTTTCCTCTTAGTGCTGGACTGCCTAGCTTTTCTGCACAGAAGCATTGCTTCTCATCCCACCCCACTTCCTCCACTGACGTCCATGACAGAGAAGCATTCAGAGACAAACAGTTATCGAAAAAGTCATCAAAAACTGACCGCCTGCCATGCACTTCCTCTTCCCTCCCTGTCGATCTAACTGCCCCAGTCAGTAAGAACTGCAAGTCATCTCTGTCCTTTTCTGTTGATGGTAGTGGCTCCAGATACCCAACATCTCCCTTACAACACTCTAACACAATTGACTATTCAAAAGAGACTGCTGGGGTTAGTCTCAATAATGGGTACAAAGAGCATTCGACAACAGAAACAGCACACATCCTTTTCAACCTCAGTGCGAGAGCCTATCAGGACCAAGGTGTGAAGGATCCCGAGAGTTCAAAAGGCAAAAAACGCAAGGCAAACAGCCTCCATGTTGAACTGAGCCTTCCTCTCCCTAGCATAAACCCTCACTCGTCCTCATCAACCCCTCCTCCTCCTCCTTCGCCCTCGTCTCTCTCTCTAACTTCCTCCCCCTTGACTATCCCCACGACATCTTTCCATGACTCCTTTAGGGCAGTGCCGAAGCCAGAACTACTGTGTGGGGTGTGCCACCGTCTGTTCAGCACTGCCTCATCCCTCACTGTCCACATGCGTCTCCATCGGGGGGGACGAGTACTCAGCTGCCGCCACTGTGGCAAAGCCTTCATCCATAATAAAAGACTGCAATCCCATGAGGCCACCTGCAGGCAAGGGCTGCCAGCTTTTCCAGTGCCACCCAAAGATGAGCTCCTGGAGGAGGGTGAAGTGGAGGGGGAGAGAGCAGATGAGGCTGTGGAGCCAGAACAGCTTGGACAAGGAACAAGGCCTGGCCGACCCATAAAGAAAGTGCGAGACCTTCACGCTCGTCATGCTGGAACACTGACTTGCAGGGATGCCCTGGGGGAAGAGGATCACTTTGTAAAAGTGGTGGATGGACATATCATTTACTTTTGCTCTGTGTGCGAACGCTCTTACATGACTTTGTCCAGCCTGAAGCGACACTCTAATGTGCATTCATGGCGGCGGAAGTACCCCTGTCACTACTGTGACAAGGTTTTTGCTCTGGCTGAGTACCGCACCAAACATGAGGTGTGGCACACAGGTGAAAGGCGCTACCAGTGCATCTTTTGCTGGGAGGCATTTCCTACTTACTACAACCTTAAAACACACCAAAAGGCATTCCATGGTATCAATCCTGGTTTGATCTCAAGTGAAAAAACAGTCAATGGTGGCTACAAGCAGAAGGTCAATGCCCTTAAACTGTACCGCCTGCTGCCCATGCGATCTCTAAAGCGACCTTACAAAACATACAGTCAGCCAATGGCTGATGGACTACTCACTTCTGATTCATCAGTTACCCTGCCTTTGTCTATAGACAGCAGCCTTCCACAACCTCTGGAAACAAAGAAATTGGAGTCTTTCCTGAAAGATCTTCAAACCACAGACATCAAGACTGAGCCTGAGCGATTCCCCATCAGGGTGGGTGTTGAGCAGGGTAAAAAACTAGCTTCTCCTCAAACAGACATGGCAGTAGAAGCAAGAGAGACAGAGGGGTCAGATTTATGGCAGTCAGGTAGCAACAGTGGCAAAAGCAAGACTCCAAAGTGCCCAGAAGATGCTGTCTCTTCAGTCATTGCATTTGCACACAGCAAACCCTCAGTCATCATGCACAGTGCTGCAGTTTCTTCCTCTGTCATTGTTCACAGAAACAAGATGGATTCTGAGGAGAGAAAAAGAAGTCCAAAAAATCATCTAATGGCAAAAACAGGTCAAAAACAGATTAAAAAACATAGCCAGAGAGAGCACACTGAGGCATACAGGGACTGGGACGCTGTCAGTGAAGATGCAGAGGCCTCGAAAATCAGACAGCCAACAGAGAAACTTCACAAGGGACGAAAAGTTCACAATAAAACAGAGTCAAGTAAGACAATACCTTTAGCGGTGGGATCAGAAGTCAAAGGCAGCGGCCCACTTTGTCAGATTACTGTGCGAATAGGGGAGGAGGCGATTGTCAAACGGAGCATCTCTGAAACAGATCTGAGGAGAGACAAAAGCCCTACACGCAGCAAACCCAAAAAGAGTAACCTCTCACAGGAGGACCAGCGAGAGCACACCAATCATCACCAACGTAAACACCGTAACTCCAGTCAGGAAGGAAAGGAGGGGGAGTCCAAATGGAAAAACCCTAAACTAAAAGGCAAGGTGAGGAAATACTTCTTCCGGCAGGAGGTCAGGGAGGACAGAAATGACCTCCATGATGTGGAGGACAACCTATGGAGGCCTTATTATTCTTACAAACCCAAGCGAAAGGCCCTTCATATGCAAGGGGCTAAAGCCTGGAAGCGCAAATTGCACTACAAACGATCCCTGAGGCCTATGAGGAGAGCTGAGAGACTCATGAAAAATCTGAATAAAGAAATTGATGGTGAAGAGGCAGATGAGGGAGAGGAGAGGAGACAGAAAATAAAGAAAGAGCAGAAAGAAGTTAGTGAGCCACATAAAACTGAAGTCAAAGAAATGTCACACACTTGTCCTGTCACTTCAAAAACAGAACAGAAGGAAAAAGAAAAGGGAACACATGGAAAGCCTGATCTTCCTCTCCCTTTGTCTGTTTCGCAGGCTACAATCAATTCTCAAAACACAGCATCCTCTATCATCAAACAACGATGGTCAGAAGATCAGGCTTCTGAATGTGGAACATGTGGGCGCTGGTTCTCCAGCGCAAGGAAACGAGACAAACATGAGTTGACACATCTATTTGAGTTTGTGTGCATGCTTTGCAGAGCTCCATTCCCCTCACAATCCAAACTAGAGGAGCATCAGAGGACTCAGCATCCCAAAACCAAGCCCCTGTCTGCCCCTACTTTCTTCACTTCCCAGTCATCAAGAAATGAGGTGGAAATGAAAGCGAATGAGAATGGAGTGGATGAACATTCCATAGAGAAAGGCAGCCCAGTTCGCTTGGGCAGGAGGCCTTTAATCAGATATACATGCTCACAATGCGATAAAGTCTGCAAAACCTCTGCTGCACTTAACTGCCACCTCAAGCGACACGAGTTCAGTTCAACCGAGGTTGAAGACACCCAGGAAAAGCAAGATTTGCCTAGTTACACAACTTCTGCAGTGGAGACTACACCAAGCAAAGGTTTATACATCAACTGTGAACAAGTACAGCCAGTGTCTGTCATATATTACTCTAAACCAGACTGTCAAATCATTGACAACCAACTGGGTGAGAAGATGGAAGAACACCAAAGAGTCAGAAATTGTGAAAGCCCCAAAGTTGCAGCCAATGACAAAGTCCACAGTCCACTGTGTGCACAGTTTTCCCAAGTTATGCACAGCCCCACTTTAGAAAGGTTTAACGTCATCTCTCCTAACCTCCCTAGTGTACTTGTAATGAATGGTGCAGAGTGCCTAGACTACAGGACACCAGAGAAACGTAATTTAGACACACTAGATCAGCAGAAAATAAGCCCAACGCCAAGGCAAATCCAAGTTTCTCAAATGCTGACAGAGCCTCAGATTAGAATAGAAACAACTCCATCTGGACCCATATCACTAAAAACAGGCAGAGGTTATGTGTTTAGAGAAGGTGACAATATTCCAAATGAAGATTTCAGCGATTTACAAGATGCTCAGGATTTAAGAATCTTTCCTCAATCCAGCAGCCAAGCCCAAGACTTATCCATGCCAACAATACTGGCAAAAAAGAAGGCGCTTAATCAACAGAATAAACATCCATCCAACATCTCAAAGGAACAGTCTTGTAATGAAGAGGTGTTGTTGCTAGTACCCAAAGAGGAACCACTCAGTCCTATACCATCTCCTACATGCTCTGTCATTCAAACCACTCCAAAAGGATCTTCTCAAAGGTATTCAAAGTCACCTTGTCACTCTCCAGGACCCTTGGACCTACAGTTGCGGCCACAGCTGAAGCAAAGCCAAACACACAGAGGAAGGCACAATACAGAAAAACAGGGTCTCGACACGAGTTCAGTTCAACCGAGGTTGAAGACACCCAGGAAAAGCAAGATTTGCCTAGTTACACAACTTCTGCAGTGGAGACTACACCAAGCAAAGGTTTATACATCAACTGTGAACAAGTACAGCCAGTGTCTGTCATATATTACTCTAAACCAGACTGTCAAATCATTGACAACCAACTGGGTGAGAAGATGGAAGAACACCAAAGAGTCAGAAATTGTGAAAGCCCCAAAGTTGCAGCCAATGACAAAGTCCACAGTCCACTGTGTGCACAGTTTTCCCAAGTTATGCACAGCCCCACTTTAGAAAGGTTTAACGTCATCTCTCCTAACCTCCCTAGTGTACTTGTAATGAATGGTGCAGAGTGCCTAGACTACAGGACACCAGAGAAACGTAATTTAGACACACTAGATCAGCAGAAAATAAGCCCAACGCCAAGGCAAATCCAAGTTTCTCAAATGCTGACAGAGCCTCAGATTAGAATAGAAACAACTCCATCTGGACCCATATCACTAAAAACAGGCAGAGGTTATGTGTTTAGAGAAGGTGACAATATTCCAAATGAAGATTTCAGCGATTTACAAGATGCTCAGGATTTAAGAATCTTTCCTCAATCCAGCAGCCAAGCCCAAGACTTATCCATGCCAACAATACTGGCAAAAAAGAAGGCGCTTAATCAACAGAATAAACATCCATCCAACATCTCAAAGGAACAGTCTTGTAATGAAGAGGTGTTGTTGCTAGTACCCAAAGAGGAACCACTCAGTCCTATACCATCTCCTACATGCTCTGTCATTCAAACCACTCCAAAAGGATCTTCTCAAAGGTATTCAAAGTCACCTTGTCACTCTCCAGGACCCTTGGACCTACAGTTGCGGCCACAGCTGAAGCAAAGCCAAACACACAGAGGAAGGCACAATACAGAAAAACAGGGTCTTATGTTGCCAGCAAATTCAGCTGGGATGAGCGATACTCCTTCTTCCCACAACTTGCTACATACTCAAGTGCCCACAGCAGAGCCTGAATCAAACAACCACACCTCTGTCACTCCAACAGAACACTACAGAGGCTCAGGCTACCCTGTCCAGGAGCTTACTCTTCCCTTGGTCATACCTGGAGAGTACTGCTCTGGTAAGAAACAGGAGGAGCAAATCCTGATGTCTTACCCTGCTGGACCCCTACCCTTTCCGCCACTTGGGAAGATGGTACCCCACTCTGACTCCACCAAACTGCCCTTTTACCCTGACCCATATCACCTACTGTATGGCCCACAGCTACTGCCATACCCCTATAACCTTGCTGCCTTTCCAATGGCTCTAAATATGATGGCATCAGGGGACAAAGAGCCCTTACCCTTCTTGCCTTTTTTCAATTACGCTGCCGCTGCTGCCCCTTTAACAGGCACAGTGCCCCATCCTTTAGTAGTGAACCCCAGTCTATACAACAGTGGTGGCAGCAGTAGCACAAAGCAGGACAACCCATAAGTGAGTACACAATGGCAGCAAGGGAATATCTGTAAAAGGGCAGAGGAGGCCATTAAGGGTGGAAGTTATGTTTTTCTGTTTCTTAACTGAACACTCTTGCACAGCTCTTACTTCTCTTTTGTAAAGCAGTAAATGCATAGGCATACCTAGAAATCAAACGTGGTGGAAAGATGGAGAGGTGTCTTGACGACAAGAGGAAAGGATGTAAGGGGGTGAAGAACAATAGATATAACACCCCCTTCAGGCACTGCCAAGATGCACCTCCAACACACCACTTCTTTGCCTCTTCTGTAGTGTTGTTAGAGCTTGGATATCTGTCCTCTCAAAATCAATACGACATTAGGGATAACACATGAACAATAACAGCTAACATGATATGTGTTTTGCTAAATTAATTTAGTCTGCTTCCCATAATAAGGACAGTATAACAACAATAATGATAATAATAGTTGTGTTAATTATACTGCTTATAGTAATACAAGGGTGGCTTATCATTGAAAGCAAAATGGTATGCCTGAAGAGGCTCAACATACTCAACACATAGGGAAGATGCAGCAGCAATTTTGTGTGTGGGCGTGCGTGTGTGTGCATGCATGAGTCTGTACAGTGTGCGATTTTGTATAGAGGTAATGCATGGAGACTTTGGGGTAGCTCATAGTGTCATATCTTACAACATCGGTACTCCAGTCATGTGTTTTTCAGTATTTCGGCTTTATGTGTGCCTGCAGGTTTGTGTAAGTGTATTTGTGGGGTGTGTTGGGGGTGTAGGCATGCACACTTAAAATCATTTGTGCTGCATCAGCCTTAGTCAGTTCCATGGACGTTCACATCAAAACACCATTCCTGGAAAGCGGTTATAATCTTAATAGGTCAGTAAATAGAAAACATAGATGAAGTTCTTCTTTCGTAAGTCATAGCATAGCAACTTGATGGTGTAGCTACATGTCATATGGATTAAACATATTATTACGTGATGCCTTCACTAACCAGGATCATCATGACTAGATCAAATATATGGTGATGTAGAATCCACTCTACATTTGAGCGTTTTATGTCTAGAGACAGATTGTGTTTCGCATAGTTTGGTTTGTAGGATGTTGGTATTAATCACTGATCATTTATGAAATAAGTCTGTGTACTTCCAGTACTCCTGCCAACCGTTTCATCTCTTCCAACAACATACGTTCCAGTCGACTTCATGTTTGTGGCCTTCTCCTCCCCACTGCCCCCTGGTGTCCACCAAAGACACTCCATTCACTTGACTAAATTTAAGACACAACAGAGAGGGAGAAACCAAGTGAGACAAACAGACAACAATATAGAGTGAGAGCGTGAGCAAAAATGGGAGGAAAGTGGAGAAAAGCGCAGCTGGGCAGTGCGTTAGCATAAATGGAGCTTCCTTTATAAAGACAGAGAGAACCGTACACTAGTAAGAGACAGTAGCCGTGAATGTTCGTTTTAGAAAAACAATCTACTACAAGCAAGCCACCATTTCTTTTGGTTAGCAGATTCTCTCTCCGCAGCAGAGAAAAGAGAGGGACAGGACGTCAGTCAGTCCTGATGCCCCTGCAGGGCCTGCACTATGGGACTTATAGCACTGGAGTGGCTTAAGCTCTCCACTTGTTTTTTTCCCCCACTATATTATTTGTTTGATTTACATATTTTTCCCTTTTTTGGTAGTGAGAAAAGTCTTGTACTTGAAGCTCATTCAAGTGCACAAAAATATGAATGTAATTTAGTCATGAGGTATGGTAGATAATTTCTGTATGCTGACTTGAAAAATAACATGTAATATTGAACCGCTATGAGGTATTCATATATAAATATATATATATATATATATATATATATATATATATATATATATACACAGTAGTCTTAGGGACATGTCAAGGAAGTTGGATTCAATATAACCACAACGCATGAGCAAACAACTGCTTCTTCAATATCTTCTGGTGTTGTCACAAAACTCAATTTTCCTCCATATGTGGTTCTTCATTTTCTCCTGCTTTTTTCTCTTGAGGCATGTCCTCACAAGACCTTTTGGGCTTCTTTTTTTTAACCCTTCAGTATCAAAATTTCAAATCTAAAACCAAAAAGACAAACTCCTATGTTGCCTTATTTCTTTTCCCCAAGCATTACAACAGCTTTTCAAACACCACCTTCTATCTCCAACTCCCTCTCCCTGTCTATTCTCAATATTTTACCTTCTCCCTTTGAAGTAAGTGTGAAACTGTGCAATGTGGCCGCAGCACTGTTCATTTCCTGAGGGTAAAACACGATGCAATGAATGGTTGTGGATAATGTAGCTTCACTCGGGTATGAGTACAAGCCTTTTGTTTGCATTGTAAAAGTGTGTGTGTGAGAGAGAGAAAGGGTGTGTGGTGGTAAAGGAAAAGCAAAACAAGGTCTATCTCCCTTGATAGCTACCAACAAACTTGTGTTTGATTTTGGACCTCTTATTTTTGCTGTATTTCCTCCACCATGACAACATTTTTACATGAATTCTAGAAATGTATAAATGAATAAATTGTGTCAACCACTTGTACCAGTGATTGGTAAAATAAAATAAAAGTAAATGTTAAATTTGTGTAAACGAATGTAAAAACAGTAACAAACATGTTGTTGAGAGGTTCACGTAAAAATCTGACAATTATTTTTAGAGAACTAATAACATTGGCTTTGTAATTTTTTTTTTGACTATTTAAGCCATTGAGTATTTAAGCCTGATTGGGTTTAAATATTGGCCCGAGTATCAATTGTTCAATTCTGAATCTGTAACTGGTTTAAAATGACTAAATCTAAAATTCTGATGTTTACATACAAGATGCCTTTGCATTTTTATTTAAATAAGCTAATAAGAATATGCACATAATCTGAGCGCACCTTACAAAGACAAAGTTGTCATACCATTTTCTATAAAACATTCTATTTAAGAACTACTTTGAGGAACAACATAATGAGTTATGAGTTATGTTCTCATGTTTTCTGTTTCATCCATCAGCAGACATTCAATGAAATTCAGTGGATAGTATGCTTGAAAGAGGTCACTTGTGACTGTGTGGGCTACTACTACTACTAGTCCTACTTTAAAAAATATATATTTATCAGTCAGCATCTGGATAGACTACTGAATATTTGCACAGACCTATAAAAACGACTTTTAGAAATTAAGTTTTTTGGGGACATATGTAGAGAAATATTCACAGATCTGTCCAGTACATTTGGTTTTGAACAATACCAAAACTACAAAAACAAATTTGCATCGTCTTGGTCCACCCAGAACAAGGACCCTTTGGAGGCTTCACTTGTCAATCAAAGTGATTCAAATCTACCAGCTGCATAGGTTCTGCACTTGGTCATAGTTGTAGGCATGTGACTAAATTGTCTGGTATATTTTGTGACAATGTTATATGCCATATGTGCCATTGTTTTAGAGGTCCACATTATATTTGGGCAGTTTCAAAGAAGTGAAATGTTTGAAACTTTATTTGTGTCTTGTTGACTTTGTGACCATTTAATACAAAGGTTTGTTGGCACACATTGCCGATTCAAGTGTACAATCAACAGTTAATTTCTTTGCTCCTGTTCTCTTTACTCCCTCTGTCCACGCTACAACCATACAAATAAAGTATTAACCTGATGACATACAAAATATCTTTCAATTTATCATTAATATGCAGTGCTGGCACAGTTTCGACATTTGAATAAAAAATATATATATAGAAGTGAAAAAAAGAGCTCTGAATTTCAAAAAGAGTCAGTAAATTAAAGTGTTTTTGTTTTCTCAAATGTGAATTTGGGAAATTATGGGACAACATAATACAGAATGTTTAAAGCAAAATAACTAGATTGTTCACACTGTTAGAAAAGAATGCTACCCGTTGTATCTTGTAGCTACTAATATGTGCCTTTTATGAGTAGGCACTGTCCCATTGACAAGCTAAAGGTATCAATTTACTACATTATTTCTGACAGTGGGATCATATACAGATTGTGGGATGTAGGCTATGGCCAAGTTTTCCTGTTCTTTGGCACTGGGCATGGAATTTGGAAAGTCAACCAAGGGTCACACAAACAATGATGTGCACCTTTCAAATAATTAAACAAAATGGTAGAACTTTTCCGCATCTAATTTGACCACTGTTCATAGTAATTGTTAGTTTTAGTCTGAAATATACCAAACTAGACTGGTACTTCTACTTTAGCAATCCAAGTTAAAAACAAAAAACACCTATGTCTCACTAGTCATACATCAAGGTTTCACTGTACTGGACGAACAAACATGAGTTACCTTTCAAAGTTCAATTGTTATGTAATCAGACTAACTGCCAGGTCGAGGATGGGGACAGGGGGGAAAAAACAGAACAATTTGCATATAAATGATATAGAAATAGCATTTTTTCTATAATTTTTCTTAATTATGCACTGCAAAAAAAGAGCCACATGGGTTACTCTAAAAATCTAAGAAACTTTAAGATGTCTCCTCATTTGCCACTCAAAATGATTTTTACTAACCTAAGAAATTACAATATCCATTTAATTAAAGGGGTCATATGATGCGATTTAAATTTTTCCTTTCTCTTTGGAGTGTTACAAGCTCTTGGTGCATAAAGAAGATCTGTAAAGTTGCAAAGACTAAAGTCTCAAATCCAAAGAGATATTCTTTATAAAAGTTAAGATTCAACTACGCCTACCTAAAACGGCTCGTTCTAACACGCCCCCACATGTCTACGTCACGATGTGGGAAGATTTGCATAACGCCGCCCAAATGTTCACGCAAAGAAAGAAGGCGTAACTTTTATTCTCGCTGTAGTATTGTTGTTGCCGCCGCCGCCATGTCGTGAAGGCGCTGTCTGCTTAGTTGTGAAAGCGAAACTACTTTGTTTGGCCTTCCAAAAGAGGACGATATCCACTTCGTCATGCCTGGAGCTGATCTGTGCTGGTCGCTGAGGAAATACATCAACTTTGCGCTGTGGATTGCCGGATTTCGGAGTCCAGCCCTGGGTCGTCACATGTGGTTGCCGCAAGCCCGCCGGACGCTCCTTCGTCGAATCCGCCGTCCGCGCCATTCTAAAGCCCGCCGCCGCTCATTCTAGCCCGCCGTGTGTGACGCTGTGTTTCGTTGTGAAAGCGAAACTACTTTGTTTGGCCTTCCAAAAGAGGACACGACTAGAAATCAGTGGTTAAGTTGTATTTACAACACTGTTCCAGAACAGTTCAACCCAAATATTCAGATGTATCCAGCGCATTTTATGGAGGCCTGTTTCCTGATCCTGGTAGAGTAGACTACAATGCTGGCTGTTCTGACTCACAGACTGTAAGTATGTTTTTTATATTTAAAGAATTTGCCACAGACGATTCAAATGCAAGTTTTGAGCAGTGTAGAGTAGCGCTTGTTGTTTGTCATTTCTCAGATCACAAATGCAGACATGGTTTTATGTTTACGCGGCGCGATGCAATGCAACGCATAAAAAGACAGTACAAGTTATTATAATCAGTAATTATGTCCCCACTGGATGCAACAAATGCCTTGTTTATTGGGTTTTAATGTTTTTGTCTCGTCACTCCGGCCGGACAAGGCATCACAATATGGGAAGGGAGCAACATTTCCATCTCACGCTTGAGGTATTTGGCCAATCACAACGCACTGGATAGCTAGCCAATCACAGCACACCTCGCTTTTCAGACCGATGAGCTTTGTAAAAATCGACGCGTTTCAGAAAGGCGGGGCATAGAGGAGAAACAATAATGTACAGTATGTGGAAAATAATGTGTTTTTTTAACCTTAAACCACAAAAACATTTCATTACACCAAATACACAAAATAATGTTCTTTTTAGCAACATCATATGACCCCTTTGAGAAAATGCATTTACAGAAGGCAGTTTATGCCAAAAAATTATAATGTTTAGCTTTTGATTGTTCTGACAATTTTGATGTATATTATCAGCACTTGATAAAAGACTTTACAAAAATCTCGCGCTACTGTTTTTTTATGTTCTGTACTTTTTTTTTTAGGAGTAAACTGTCAGAAAAAATATGCAAAATTGTACCTTTAACATAAGTCAAAATGTTTTTTTATCTTATCTATCCCAAAAAGCTATATATTAGTATTTTGTTGTACTAAAGGTACACATGTCCCTAAAAGTAATTTTTGCTTTTTTTTTCTTACAGTGTACAACCATTCAGTCATTAATATTTTTCCATTTTGTTCCCTACTTTCACCCACTTCATGTTTTGTAGTCATTAAAACACCATAGCACAAACATATAACTGAATGCCAATAATGCAATTGTACACTGGTTATCAGCATACAAAAGACCTGAACGCTCAAACAAACAAGCCCAAAATCAATACTTTCCAGTGCTGTGATGTCGACATCCTTAGTCACTGGTCTTATGGGGAAGCTGTGTGCTAAACTGGAGTTTACTCACTTCTCAGCGAAAGAGAGAGAGAGGTAGGTAGTCTGATGGCAGTAGGCTAAACAAAAGTCCTCTAGCTTATGTCCTGATTCCATTCTCTCTTGTTTCTACTCCTGTTCT